TATAACCTATAAAAGATAACCTACACAATATAAACTCTATCATATAAACTTCCATAAATCTATTTTAGAATATCGCTAAGATATATTATTATCCTAAATATAATATCATAAGATCTATATGGAAAATATATCACAATAATATATTTTCCTATATTCCTAACAACTTGTGTTATTTTTTTGCTAATTCCGAGCTCAATACAGGCCCCTAAAGGCTAAAATGGCCCCTAAAACCTTAATCGGAGATTTTTCGACTTGTAAACCGATTAAAAAGTTGAATCGGGCTGCAATTTACAATTTATACGAACTTTTGGGCTGCAATTTGCAAAATACGAACTTTAAATGACTGCAATTTGCAAATTTTCCTTTGTTTTGTAATAAATAAACCATAAAAACAAAAATAAATACATAAAATATAGGAAATTTTTTAAATTACCACCCAAAAATGTAACCATTTTCTAGCTAACCACCTGTTTAATTTTTTATTTTAAATTACCACCCTTAAATTAAATAAATGCTCACATTACCACCCATTTTAAAAATCCGGTGGATTTTTCGTTTGTGGGCCCCATCTAACGCTTATTTTGACCTTTTTAACTGATTTTTTCCTCGATTTTTCTCTTTGAAAACGCTCTCCTACTTCAATTCATGTTTCCTTCACCAAATTCTACCCTAATTGTAGTGCAATTTGGTAAAATTTGGTGAAGGAAATGTGAATTGAAGTTAGGAGAGTGTTTTTAAAGAGAATAATTGGGGGAAAAAATCAGTCAAAAGGGTCAAAATAAGCGTTAAGTGGGACCCACGGACGGAAAATCCACCGGATTTTCGAAATGGGTGGTACTCTGAAAATTTATTTAATTTAAGGGGTGGTAATTTAAAATAAAAAATTAAACGGGTAGTTAGTTCGAAAATAGTTACATTTTTGGGTGATAATTTAAAAATTAACCATTAACTAATGATGTTTACAAAATAAATTCTTAATATAATAAGTACAAGTTAGAAAAAAGAAAGAAATAAAAAAAAAATTGAAAAAATGATTAAAATAATTTTTGTTGAGAAAAATCCTATATATCTTATACCTCCCTCCCTCCCTCCACCCCTGCAACTAATCTTCAATTTGAAAAACTCTGTAAAAAATCAAAACGTGTTATTTATTTAAACACGAAGAGACTATATTACAATATAACTCCTGCATTATTTGGGCTTTGACAAATTAGGGAGAAGAGATAATGAATAGCTTTTGTATTGCTTAATTATTATTCATCAATAGGTTGAGTATTTATACAAAACCTATGCTCATAAGATAGGAAACAATCTTCCCAAAAGATATACTATATATCCTAATGATATATTCACTAAATAATATCTTAACATAAAATAAACCTAAATATATTATTCCTTTAATGATATTTATGGAAAATATATCACACATCTATTTTACGATAACACATATCTCTAACAGGCTTCGTAGGACAATATGTAATCATAGTATATGTAGACTATTTCCTATAACATGAGGAAAGTATATTATACATTTATATAGTACTTTAGCTAGACAACAGCACACCACCTTCACATGTTTTTTCTATCAAAGTGTCGTTTATTCAAGTAAAAAATTAAGATGATTTTGAAAGACATACCAACTACTACGTGTAACATAAATCAAGAGTCCATGTTTAAATGGTGTTTTTGTAATCATATCCACGACAATGATGATAAATGAATTCAATTTAAAGAGAATCTTATGGTTTTAATTTATAATTGAATAAAGAAAATTTGGTATTATACCACCTATTAATAGTGACATATCAAGGATTTTCCGAGCAGCAAATACAAGTTTATCTGCTAGATAAATGATTTTTTGTTAATCTGGTGGCAATTATGTAAATATATTGAAAAATTGTGGTCGTTCATTCATTACTTTTGGTTAGCGGTTCAATTACTATTTGCGACTTGCATTTACTCTTTGGTGAGGAAATTACACATGTACGGTGTACCCCTCAACTAGTACATGAAAAGACGCATTTACCTCTTCACTGATACTTGAAAAGACGATTATACCCCCAAATAAACAAATTTTGTTTACCATCAATTATTGATGATCACATGCATGTAAATTTTTTTTTTCCCGGGTCTAGTTCATAATTGATTTCAATTCAAAATTATATTAAAAAATTGTATTACAACTAAATTGATTTCAATCCAAAAATAGGACACAAAAATCCATACTAAAACCAAATAGTACTTACTATCTTAAAAAACCCCATATAGTATTTTTAAAATCCATCTTACAAGCCAAAAGTACTACAAATAACAAGTAACAAACAAATAGTACACACCCATTACTCTAAATAGTAGCAAAAAAAAAGTAAAATAACATTAGAGACCGGATGTTAGTATAACCAGTCTCTTTTAATTGTTTTTTTATAAAAAGTAACAAGGAGTGACACGACTTAGCATCTACGAAACCTGTTATCATAATAACTGATCTCTTTTAATTAAAAAAACAAAATAGCAGAAGTATTAGTGGGAGTGATACTCGTAGCATCTAAGAGACCAATTATTTGTTGATTGAACTTCATTTTTTTTTAGCTGGTGATGCACGTGCACCGCTGTACACCAATGTAGCTCCGCCCCTACCCATTAAAAACACCCATTTTAAATTACCACATAAACAAAAGAGAACACTCTCACACTAAAAATCTATCCCAACCTCGGAATACCACCTAGCAACACCGAAACCCACTGTGCCAGACCGAAATCCCACCGGATCAAAAGCCGATTGAAACCCAAGCTTGAATTTAATGGGGGGGTAGCACTGTAGTAGGAAAGGGGTTTGATATGGGGATTGGGGAAGAGGGTAAGGGATGATAGAGGTGGTCGTTCAGGGGTGGTGGTGGTTTCGGTCTAACAAGGGCGGGATTAGGGCAACGCGCGACGAAGTGGGTGACCGTGCAGGGCTTGCTTTGGGAGATTTTTTTAATTTATTTTTGTTTTTTTTAATTATTTTTTTTTTAGTTTTTTTTTTAAAAAAAAATTATTCTTGTAAGTATTTTTTTTTTTTTAAAATAGAGCCAGTTTGAAGGTGACAGTAGCGAATCACCTTCTAAAACAGGTTACCAATTTCCTAAACCAGTAATAGGCTTATTTTGAGAAGACGGGGTGTATGTTAAGGTGGGATGCTTTCATAGTACGCAAAGTTGGGATTGTTTTTAGAAGATGAAGCAAAGATAGGATTATTAGTTTCAATTCAAATTTTCCTTTTTATTCTTTTCGTTAGATTAAAAAAAGAAAATACTACTTAGTTCTGCATTAGATTAATTGTACGAGTAACACTTTGCATAAGTGTTGGGGTCCTTGTTATTTTATTTCTTCCTTCATTTTTTTTTTTAGTTGCACCTCTTTCCTAAAATCGATGTTTCAAATTAATTGTATCACTTTATATTTCTCTCATATATACCACATGAGCCTTACCACTAGAAGTTCGTGAAAACAAAAGTGATACAATAAAAGAAGTACTTTTATCCAATAACTTCACTTACCACTACCAACTATATACCCGCACTAACTTAACTATAGTTTATATCATAAAATTCTAACATTAGTCCTTATTTATAATTAATTTTTAATAATGTGTTAAGCTTATTAGTGATGCGATTTAAAACATAGGAGATACGATTTAATCCAAAACGAAGGGAGTATAACAAATAAGGGTGACGAAAGTTGATCTATCTAACTCAAGAGCCGGACATGAATTAAACTTGAAATAAAAAGGTTTTCCACACCTTCCCTCTTCAATCTAACCACAACAACATAAGACATTGTTCTTTTCATCTTATTCAAATAATATTTATTAAAAATAATTTAATTATAGTATAGTTAAAATATGTTTTAATAAGTAAAATTATTAGTAACTTAATATGATAGAGGATTAGTAAATATAATTTACTTTTAACAAAATAAATTCCAGTTTAGGAAAAATGATTTCAGATCAATAAAAATAAGGTGAAGTGAACAAAGTTAAGTACCTAACCATTTCGTTCATTTTCTCTCTCTCTTTTCGAATGCTTAATTAAACGTCGAAATATATTAAGATGTGCTGAAAAATATATACTACTTCCGTTTCATATTATTTGCAACATTTAGATATTTTTCTTTATGTCAAATCGTTGCAAATAATATAAAACGGGGAATAGTAATCAATGTTTTAGTTTTAATGAGCACAGTGCTTATCGAATGTATTTTCTATAATGTTTTAGTATTTTAAGCATATTGCTAATTCATCGGATCAACATCGATACATCTTATTTTTCACAAACAAACAAGCTTTTAAAGTCCGATTTGATTAAAAACACGACAAATTCAAGTTTGAATTTATACTCCGTGATACGTTTACAAACAAGTCGGTTTAGGTTTGGGGGTGCTGTCTCAATTATATAAACAGGTCCATCAGATGTTGACCCAACTTGACTTTATTGCTAGAATGCTAGCCTTGAGGACAAATTTGATATTAATATACAAGTATATGTTTATACAGGTAAAGTCGTTCAAAATTAATATGCAATAGTACAAGCATTTTATTATGGAAACACGTGAAATATAAATGAGATGCATTATTAACATCTAATACTAGTTTTGGCATCTAATCCTCTCTGATACAATTGATTTATATTAGTTATGTGTATTTTGTGATAATTAGATATCTAAATTACTAGCTAGCCAACACTACACAAATAACACATCATACTTCTTCAAAATAAATTACTAATAATACAATGTACTTCCTACATAACACTTGGTATAGTAATTTATTTACATGTCGTCTACCACAGGCGCGTCTAAATCTCAAGGTTTACATTTGATCTTGATCGATCATTTATAACACGAGACAAACTCAAAGGTACTCGCTCATACAATTATACAAGATTAAAGCAATGAATTATCAAAATAAATTAAGTTAGCACGAAATCGAACAAACAAAAAGAGAGAAGAAAATAAACGCACATTAATTAGATTTTTCTTTTGGACAAGTCCCTTTCAATTTCAATATTATAAACACCAACGTAATTACATTAATTAATATTAGCAATAAATAATCGTACTATATTACTAAAATCTTGCAATACTTTTCTTTTATTACAAACATAAATAAAAAAAATAAAAATTCACCTTTTCTTCTCTCTCTTATATATCCTCCTCCTCCATCACACCCCTACTTAAAGTCTTAAACACACAGAGAGAGTGATACAGAGAAAATTCAGAGAGAGTTATTTTTAATTGGTTAACATTGCTCTATATAAATGAGGGAACTCTAAATTAAAGACTGAAAACTCAACAACAATACTTTTCAATCTCTCACAAATTACAAATCTATCAGTAAAATAACATTCATATCTTCCCTTGTCGTCCTATTTGAATTGCTAAGAAGAGGAAACAATTACTTCCACCACGACTATGGATGCATGGTTAGCAGAATTGGTAAGAATTCAATATACAACTCTAGATTACTTCGATCATCGATATATTACCTGTAATGATTACGTCGAATATTGCTTGGTCTAATGTAATTTAAAACACTAATATAATGTACAATACCTATTACCTATACTATATATTAAAAGGCGTTCGTAAATAAGTTTAGGTGCCACATGTGACATCTTCCTCAATTAATCAAGTATTTCATCTTATGTGTTTAAAAATATGGATTAGACAAGGTTTGAACTCAAGTCTCAAGACCTCAAGTTTCAAAACTATATTGTCTGCCACAAAGCTATACCATGTCATATACGAAGTATCATTTTATTAAAACTAAATATAATTAAGAATTTTAATCATGAAATTAATGTAGTAACTAGGGACATTGTCCAAGGCCTAAAAACTAGTTAATTGATTATAAACAAAAATAATGAAAAAAGTCATTATTATAAAAGTAAATATTTAGACTAAACTAATATGATCTCTAATTTAGTAGTTTTAAAATAAATAAAAAAATAATAAAAAAAAACTCTACTTTTTCTTACAAATATGTATCCATTTTAATCTTTTGTTCATTGAAATTAATTTTATAATTAACTGATTCATTGTGTTAATTGCTTGATGTAGGAAATTGATATGGGTACAATTGATAGTTTAATCAATAACCCTTATGACGAACAAAGTGTAATGGATATGGAATCAAGTTTTGAGGAACAACTTGCTGCTACATTTTTCGACACGGCCTCTCCTCAGGGAGATATTGAGTGCAATGTCATTGAACAATATATATCATCCCCTCCTATTCCCGATATCAGTGAAAACCACGACGATAACAATGACAATATCAATAACAAAAATGATAACGATAATAACATTGTAAGCTCCAATGTTCAAGAGAGGCAACCGTCTAAAACTAAGCAAAAGACGAAGAAGCAAGCAATGAGTACGAGTCATGCCCCAAAGAGGAAACGACAGCCAAGCCAAGTGCAAGATCACATTATCGCCGAGAGGAAGCGCCGTGAATTGCTTAGCCAGATGTTCATTTCACTCTCTGCCATCTTACCCGGCCTTAAGAAGGTTCGTGCGTGCCAAATTTTTTTCCGTTATTTTTATTTGAAAAAGAAAAGATACACAATAAGTTAGAACAGTGTTTTTTTTCAAAACTATAATTTAAATGATTAGGAAAAAAATAATTTATTACCTAAGGATTGTTGAAAATAAAAAAAAAGCAAAATTAAAAGAAACACGTTGAATATGAACATGCATGCTTTCTCATTCAAATAATGTAATAACAAGTCATGCCTTATATAGGCTACAAAAGTAAAATAAATAAAAAACAAATAATTAGCATGCAACTCGTGGGATTGTTGTTGATAATGCCCATAATTCTAAAGATTTAAAGATTGAAATATAAGTAAATAACAATATTAAAACTAAATATCTAATTAACTAACTTTGAAGCACTAACTTTAACAAGGATTAATATCATGGTTCACCTCTATGAAGTGACCCCAGTGATGAAACAACATAATCTGCTGCTCTATTGCCTTTTATTTATTTATTTTTACACAGTATTTATGTTTTTCCAATATGTTATGATTAAAGATTTAAAGACTGAAATAGAAGTTGTGAAAATGGTTATACAGATAGATAAAACATCGATCTTAGGAGAGGCAATCAAACATCTGAAGGAACTTCAAGAGAAAGTAAAGGTACTTGAAAGTGAGGTTGCAAAGAGGACTGTAGAGTCCGTGGTACTTTTCAAGGGCATTGCCAATGATAATGTTTCCTCTTCGTCGACTGTGGAGGACTATGGTGGAAACGGTAGTAGTGGCAGTAGCGATGATGATGGAGGTAATAATAATAGTAGTGACTCATTTTTGGAAATTGAAGTAAAAGTATTGGAGAAGACAATTCTCTTAAGAGTTTATTGTGAAAAACGAAAGGAGATATTGGCCAAGTTATTTGCCGAGGTAGACAAGCATCATTTGGTCATTACTAATTTTAGTGTTATACCATTTGAGAACTTAGCCCTAAACATTACCATTGTTGCGCAGGTAATGCACCCCTTATAGACGAAAATGTGTTTTCTTATCTTGATAAATTATTTTTATTGAATTTAAATTAATACGATGTTACATTTATTTTTGCAGATGGAAAGGGGGTTTAACAAGAATGTAAGAGAGTTTGCTACAACTCTTCGCAATGCCCTTCATTAAGCTAGCTACGTACCAACGTTCTTCCATATAGAACGTGAATAAGTATTCCTCTACTTCGTATAATTTAACTTGTTTTTGGATATATTTTATCCATATTTTTTGAAATATCTTTGTAGTTTATTAATCATCTGAACTTTACTGAATAACGGAGAAATAAGAAGTTTATGCAGGACATGCATACACTTTTCAATAAGTTATATGAAGTATTTTTAATATTATTGTCAAGTCAAAATTATATGATTGTATGAATATGATGATGAAGCTAAGTAATGAAGCCTAGCTATTATTTCAATTTTTTAATAGCGGTTATTTATTCATGAAATTCAAGCTAATATAATTTGTCAAATATGTACGGAGTATAAAGCTTCATTAATCACGGAGTATTTTGGAAAGAACATGTATGCATGTGTTTCTTATGAACACACCATCACAATTTGACAACAATGAGTCAATTTAGAGCTTATACATTCTCCTGGCGTAGTGAGTGAAAACTTGAGGATATGTACAGTTCTACGATGATGAAAACATGACAATATTGCCCTTATTTGTTAAAGAGAATTTAGCTTATTGAATCCTATTAATGATTTTGAATAAGCTAATTTGAGAGTTTGGTAAAATAAATTATGGGCCAAATTTATTTGATAAATACTTCCTCCATTTCAATTTACTTGACCTATAGCAAGCCTGGGCACCGTGCCGGGCCGTGCCTGGCGGGCCACGGGCTGGTTCGTGCCGTGCCGGTCGTGCCGGCGGGCCCAGGATTTTGTGTCGTGCCGTGCCGGGCATTTTCACAGGCCAGCCCACGGCACGGCACGGCCCTCGTGCCTGGCGGGCTCGTGCCGGCCTGCGGGCTGGTGCAGTTTTCAAATACTTTTTTTTTTTTTTTTTTTTTTTTATATGACAACATTATAAATTAATAAGTTTATAATGTATATAAGTTATAAAATTATAATTATAAGTTTTATAAGGTTATAACTTATAAGTTTATAACTTATAAGTTATAAGTTATTAAGTTATGAATTTTATAATTATAAGTTGAATATTTATGTTTTATAATTTGTATATTCAATATTTATATTTATATATTTACTTTATACTATTACTTTAAAATTTAATGTTTATGATTTATTAGTAATTGGTATAATTTTATTTTTTTTTAATATGAATTTACAAATTGTAACAAAACGGGGAAAAAAGGCAAATTGGACTTTGGATGTGAATAATGCGTACTTTATATTATTATTACTTGAGTTGAGAAAATTGTACAATGATAACAATGATAAAAATCATACAATGATGGTATTAAACAAAAATTGGAAAATGATAAAATTGATATTTTTAAAATCGTACAATATACAATAATTGTCTATTCTTCTTCTCCTTCTTCTTGCTCGTCTTCGTCTTCGTCTTCGTCTTCGCCTTCGCCTTCAAGGTCATCGGCTAGTTGCATAGATTGGGAACTAGCCGAACCCGAACCGGAAGCGGAGGTTCCTTCTTCGTTGTCGTTGTGGTCGTAAGAACGGTCTTGTGAGAGATTTTCCGCATCCAACCAATCTTTGAAACACACGCACATTTCTAGTGTTTCGGGTTTTAGACTTGTTCTTCTATCGTCTAAAACCCTTCCGGATGTGCTGAAAGCTCGTTCGGAGGCGACGGAGGAAACTTGGATAGCAAGAATGTCTCGTGCCATTGCCGCCAAAGTTGGATGCTTCGAGCTTTGTTGTTTCCACCATGCAAGGAGGTCGAGGCTGTTTATCTCATCGTCGTCCATGCCTTTGGTGAACTCGTAACTCAGGTACATCTGCAACTCCGAGACGTCGCTTTGCGTTCTCCTGATTAATGAATCACCTGAAAACCTTGAAATCAAGTTAATAGCTTGTGAAAATAAATGTTTGGCCTTCTTACTTACGTTTTTGGATGGTTGGGAAGGCCCTGAGCGAGGAACGGTGCCATATTTGGCTTCATAGACTCTATATAAAGCAAAAAACTGATCCTTCACATTAGTCTTATAGTTTTCTACATCATCGTCAAGAAACATGCATTGAAAGTAAATGTCAACTAACATAAATGCGTTTTCATACTTTTGCCTAGGATCTAATATGGAAGCAAAAATATAAATCAAAGGAATCTCACTATAATATTTACGCCACTTTTTTTCCATTGCTGGAAGATACTGATCATAATCACTTTGATGGCGATGATCAGCGAAAAGTTGGGCGAGTAAGCATGCATTAGAAAGAAAGTTTTGAGCACAAGGATTGTAAACAGTAAAAAACAATACGTCATGTTATATAATAACTGTAAAAATTGCATATATCTTTCACAGTTATTCCAATCATCATCATACAAAGCATTTTGTGGAAATTTTTGGTTGTAAAATAATGTTAACGGGCCCTTGTACTCAATTGCCTTTGTTAACATGTCATAGGTGGAATTCCACCTAGTTGGGCAATCGGTTCTAATTTTTATTACCCTTATCTTTTGTTGTTTTAGAAAACTCTTCCATTCTTGGTATCTCATGTTAGAGCTATTAATAGACATAATAGCATCTCTGATTTTGCTGTAGTATGGGCCAATTGCCCGAACTCCATCCTGTACACATAAATTAAGTACATGGCAAACACATCTAGTATGAAGAGCTTCACCGTCTAATAGTACATCGGTTAAGTTTTGTTTGATAAGATTAGCTGTGTATGTCATAGAGGTTGCATTATCAAAAGTCATAGACATCATTTTATCTCGAAGGTTGTATTCGTCTATTGCTTGCATTAAATGGTGAGCAATGTTAATGCCGGTGTGTGGGTATTCCAGCATTTTGAAATGTATTATTCTTTTTTGTAACATCCATTGATCATCTACCCAATGGAAAGTCACACATAAATAGTGATATTTATAACCACTATCCCAAGAATCGGCTGTTAAAGATACTCTACAGTTAAGGTTACTCAATTCGGCTTGTAACCGGACTTTGTACTCTAGGAAATTTTTCATTGCGGCGGAACGAACGGTTTTCCTAGAGATTCTTTTATGTTGGGGTTGTAGTGCTTTGTTAATGTAGGTGTTGAATGCGTCACTTTCCGAGAAAAGAAAAGGTTGTTCGGCGTGTACTATCATTTTTCCTAGTTCATCCCTATCCCTCTCATAGTTGTATGTAAAGCCGTATGGATGGAATTGGGAAATTTTGGGCTGGGTTGGATCACTAGCTGGTTTTGCACAAGCTTTCATGTGTCTAGATAAGTGTCCCGTCCCGTTTTTGGTAACTGCCGTGAATACACTATTACATGTTTTACATTTTGCCCATTGTTCACCATCTTTACTTAGGACAAAATAACGCCATACCTCACTCCTTCGGTTTTTCAAAAGTAGCATCTCAGTTTCGGTTAACCATTCATGATGTGTGTGATGGTTAGTAGTGGGACTAGTGGGAGTGGCAGTAGAAGGGGTAGAATCGGAGGGAATTCGGGTACTTTCTTGGCTACCTTGGCTAGAACAATAGTTTTGTTGATCACCGATATAATTAGGTGGAAATTGGTATGGTGGTAGTGGAAATTGGTTTAGTGGTGGTGCTGGAAATCCCGACGTATTATATGGCTCATAGCCGGGGGGAAGTAAATGGGGTCATTGGTTTGACTCGTAATTTGGGGGCTCGTTGTATTTGGTGGTTCCCTAGAACTACTACTACGGATAAGTCGGCCTTTCCCCCTAGACCTAGATGATGGGTTGTTCGATGCCATTAACAATTAATTTTTTAATAAAAAGTGGTTAACTATAATAATAATAATTAATAACAACAATTTTAACAATAAAAATATCAATAATAATAATTAATAACAACAACTATAACAATAACAATAACAACAAAAATAAATAATAACAACAATTGTAACAATAATAATAATTAATAACAACAATTATAACAACAACAATAACAATTAACAACAATAATAATTAAACAAGATTATTCTAATAATAACAATAAAACAATAATAAATTTAAGATTAGTTTAGATCTTACAACCGTGCTTCAACGCTCCACTAATTACGATTACGAACTTTTTAATTTTTTCCGATATTAGGAAAATAATTAGAGAATTTAAGAGAATAATTAGAGAATTTAAGAAAATAAGGATTATTAGAGATTTAGAGAATATAAGAGATAAGAAGAAGAGATTGTGATTTTGTGATTTGGGAATGAAATGGAGGTGAGTATTTATAGAATTTTTGGGGAGCAAATTGGCAAAAAACTAGCCGTTTTTTAGCCTTTTTTTGGCTTATTAAGGAGCTAGAATAAACGGTAATATTACCGTTGGCCCGCAGGCCGTTCCGGGCCGTGCCTGCGGGCCGGCACGACGGGCCAGCACGGCGGGCTATGGCCGTGCTCGTGCCGGGCCGTGCCTGGGAATTCTCAACCCTGTCCGTGGCACGGCCCGTGGCACGGGAGTTGATCTTCGTGCCGTGCCGTGCTTGACTTCGGGCCGTGTCGGGCTGCGCCGAACGGCGGGCCGTGCCGGGCGGCACGCGGGCCAACCCGGCCCGTGCCCAGGTTTAACCTATAGTCTTATGACATGCAATTTAAAGAGTTAATTAAAGAAGAAAAACGATATTTTTAATAAAAATAAATAAAACCACCAATAAAAGGGATAAACTGGGGTTTCATGGTATTAATTTTTTTTTATATTTATTTTATGTTAATCTTCTTTAATCTCTTCCTTAAATTACGCGTTAAAGGGTTACAGATCAAGTACATAGAAATAGAGAAAGTAATTATAAAGCAAAACCCAATTTGATAAAATTAAATTTTGGGCAGTAGTTGCAAACTTGCAATTCTCAACTTGCTAATTTGCGCATCCTAAAGTTTATACTAGTAAAACAAATTAGAGGAAAATATTGAAATTAGGGAATCTTGAATTTAGTACTACTCTATAAAAATAAGTGGGTCTTAGGCTACGAGTTAGCCGTGGAATTAGCTGTGGAATTGTTGTACATAAAGTTGCGCCTACTACTACAAATATTTATTTTTGCTGGACTTATGCCCTTCTCACCCAATTTTGAGTACTACTCCCTCTGTGTATTTTTAATGTGTTACATTTTGACTAGCACATAGTTATAGACAATTTAATTGACTTAAATAAAGTAAAAGATAAGTGGGATAGTTGGAGTATTTAAAAATTGTAAAACAAAGATAGTGGGGTTAATAGTTTATTGAAAAGTAATGAATATGAGAGG